TTTATATCAAAGCTTGCGATAGTACACCGTCGTTCTGGTGCAGCTCGTCGTTGGCCACACGTAGCATGTAGGCCGTGGCCTTCATGAACCGAGCAGCAGATCCACGAGCGGAAGTGACCAGCTGCAGATGCCAAATCCATGAGCGCTCATTGCTGGGACTGCTTCTGGAGTTCTGGGACGACAAACAACGAAAAATCAGAAGGTGCCACAGAGCCGGAAACATGGCGAGGCGCTCCTTTTTCCCCAGAGCCCAGACCCAACACGTACCGCTGCTGGTGACGATCTGCTCAAAGTGCCGGTGTCCCCATGGGTGCTCCATGCTCCAGGTTCCGTCGTGCAGGGGCAAGCAAGGGACGACACCGCAGCCCCAAACGCAGCTGCTCGCCACTCGCCGCGGGGATGCTCGTCGGAGGTGCCGGGAGCTCACCTCATGAAGACGGACGAACAAGAGCAGATCGGAATGGCGGAGTCGCCAGAGCATGAATCGGCGGCAGATCCAGAACAGGAGCCAGACCGGCGCCAGCTGCGACACTGGTGGATGAATCGGCATATGCAGCGAAGAGCAGCGCACTGCAGGACGAAGGACGGCGGACGGTGTGAGTTCTGCAGGCGGACGGAATGTCTGTTGCAGGCCGAAAATGAAGCAATGTGATTGATCCGGAAAAAAAGGAAGCAACGTGATTAGAAGGGACCCATGCGGTGGATGAATGGACGGAGTAAGGGATTGAATCACGGCATGACTCCATGCAAGCATTGATTAGAAGGGGACCACGGACGACCAAGCCAAAGCCACGTGCCGGTGACCATGGTTCGCTGGTGATAGTTTTGGTCTGGCTACAAAATACGGTATTACGTAGCCAGCTATAGACTAATATATACTCCCTCCATATACGAAAAAAATGACGTTTAGAACAGCATTTAGCATATCAAGGAGTGATTAATTAGGATAGAGTTTTCTCTATTTGCCCCTATTAAATACTGCTTCGCGTGCATTCCATACGAGAAAGTTTCCTAGATCAACCGGTTAGCGTATCGAGGTGTGAGGCTGGTGAGCCGAGTTCGATTCATAGTGCCCATAGTTTTGCTTCATTTTGCATGGCAATGAGTGATTTTTGCATGGCGCTGTTTCTGCCGTGGAGATGCATGGCGCGCGTACTATTCGCTATTTTCGGCTGGGAGCGAGGAGGAGGTTGCATGGCGCCTTTGTGCACCCTCTCGTTTTCAATTTTTTCGCCTGGTACCATTTGTGCTTGCTTACAGGTCCGTTTGTGCCTGCTTTCGTTTTCATTTTTTTATTTACCTTGGCGCTCATTTGGAATAAGAAGACCGACGTTTGGGTTACCCGAGGTTCTATTTATGCGCTTGCATCTACTACTTCATTGCCTTGCTTCTTCCTTGCACGCCTAGCTTACGCTGCTGCTTATTAGCTTATAGCGCGTCTACTGGATCCACAAATGATGTTAGCGATACTAGGCGATACGACGATACTTAATAAAAGTAGCGATAGTGGAGAGCAGCGAGGCGATAAGGCGAACCGCCAGTCGAGGATGGAATCGAGGAGAATTGGCTGCTAGTGGACTATAATCCTGTCATCCATCATGCGCGCATGCATCAAGGCAAATGCATTAGCGTCGTTAATTAGCAACATATTCTTTACAATCTTGATGTATAGGGTTTCTGACGTCGTTTTTTTGTTATACGGAGGGAGTAATATACTATACTAATTTACGAGATTATGGTAATTCCCTCATAAGTGATTTACTATAGCATTATGGTAAGTATCATCTTAAATTATAGTAACCCATGTATCGTAAATGTGTATTGTCATTATCGTAAATTGGTACAAACATTATCGTAAATCAAGGTGGTCATAGAATAAGTTATTCTGTGACTAGCCGTATATATGGAGGAGAACTGCGCACATGTGTATCAATTAGCAATATGGTACTAATTGATGTCGCACCGCCTCCACCTACTAATGGGCCTCAATAATAATTAAAGCCTATTAATAAATAAAGATATGGGCCTTTAAGATTCTTTAGGATTTTAGAATTATTTTAATTTCGAAATTAAATAATTTCATGAAATAAAAATAATTCTAGGAAATCTAGAATTACCATTTATATCATGCAAAGTACTCCGAAGCTTAGAAAAAATCCCTAGAGAAATCATGAAGACAGATTGAAGGACGAAGAACTCAAATAAAATATTTGGAGCTCATAAAAGATATTTTGGAGCATCTAAAAATTAGATTATGCTCGTAGAAAAGCAGGAAAGAATTCCAAAAAGAGCTGGAAAAACTCCCGAGACGTTCTCACAGATAGTTGATGGATGATGAACTCAAAGGAGTGACTTGGAACGAAAGAAAAGTATCTTGAAAAACTCCAACACAAAGATTAAGATCAAGAAAGTAAGGATTTTACTACATAAAAGACAGAGACAAGACCGAGAAAGATAAACAACTTACTAAACATGTTTTTTTTTTAAATTTATTCATTCACAGCACTGAGTCAAGCAACAAGCAACATCACATCAAGCAAAAGCCCGCCAAATTAATTCAGAAAAGTTTGAAAATTCATATTTTTCTGCAACTAAATTTGCGCTAGCTTAAACTAAATAAAGTAAATTTTATCCAAATATTAAAACCAATTAATTTATTTAGTGTTTTCTATTCACAACCTAAAATTTGGAAATTTTGGGGTGTGATAATCTAGATCTGAAACGTTTTCTATGAGAATCTGGATCCCTACCGAACGGGCCCGTACTAAGGGCATGTTTGGTTCCAGGTGACTAAAGTTTAGTCACCTAGTTTTAACCTCTTTTATAGTCACTAAATTGCCAAACAAGGTAACTAAAAAGTGACTAAACTGGTTTAGTCCTCTAGTCTCTTGGAGGGTGACTAAAGAGGACTAAACCAGCCAAAAGACACCCCTTGCCCCTCATTAATACACAAAAGGAGAGAAAGTGTGAGAGGAAGGGTATTTTGGTCTTTGTATAGTAGCTTTAATGGCCTCTAATTTAGGGACTAAATAGAACCAAACAGACCATAACTTCGAAGATCTTATAAAAAAAACTTGGAAGATAAAAAACATATATTTTTTTCATTGCAGCTTTGCCAGGGCTATTTGGTTTGCCTCACCAATCGGACTTAGAGTTGATGCCTTGCCTTTATCGGACCATGGAGGCATGGACTACACACTCAAATTGCTACTACTATGCAACAAGGACCCTCGCATGTTACCATAGGTTTGATTTTTCTCTTTCATGTGGTATCTTTGGAAAGCACGCAATCCGGATTCAACAACATAAATTGGTCGGTTTGTAGAGTTCTACGTGAGGCAAATACAATTGACAAAGCTTATTGCATGGCTATTAAGGAGGATCCTGTTACGCATATTACTCCACAACCGAGGCCCTCATGCTTACATATTTCAGTTGGTCCTAGAATTTTTTTGTGATGCCTCTGTAGGCAGACAAGGTGCCACCACGCCAAACCAAACAGTCATTGGGATTTTCATTCTTACAACCCCTGCATGAAGTGTTTCCCATGCATCTTTTTTTTTCAGGTAGTCATTCCCCAGGTAACTCCCACCCTCCTCCTCGGTGCCAAGCTGGCTATGGCACTCAACTTGCATGATGCAACTCTCTGTAGTCTGTACTGACAATCAGGTGCTAGCAAATGGCTGCTCGTGCTGGTTCGCATCGAACTCATCCGGCCTCTACTTTCTGAATTGCAGGAGATCAGTCAAGTTAGAAACCTCTCATTCATCAAGATCGGAAGAGAGTCAAACAAAACGGCTGACACACTTGCGAAAAAAGCAAGGTGTGCTAGAATCCCAAACTCTTGTCTTCTCTCTTGCTAGGCATTAGCACATTCACCGATATGTAACGTTGCTCAAGCTTTGGAACATTTCGAATGGGGCAATCTTAGCCCTATATCTGTACTTTATTTGTGACGCAATGAAAATTTAGAATTTCAAAAAAAAAATCCACTCCTTAGTCTTATTTTTTAGCAATGAACTTATTTTTAAGAGCATTTCTAAGAGTTTTCAAAATTCACTTCCAATCAATTTTTTAGCAAGATTGAAAAAATTGCTCTCCAACAACTCTCTATCTCAAACTCCTAATCTTTTCACAGAAGAACCTATAGCCTGGATTTTCCAAGATTTAACTACGTCGTGCTTTTCAGTGATAGACGACGTTCTCATCTACAGCAAGGCGCCGGCCAATTTGGGGGTGGAAGTACATGGAGTAGGACAAGGTTTCCTGTGCAAATATATAATATATAAGAGAGAAATAAAACATAAAAGTGATTTGGAAATAGTCCAGGATTTCTGATGTAAAATTGATTTCTATATTATAGAGCGAGATTTTTGTAAATTGTTGGAGAAACCCAACAAATATGCTCCTAACGTTTTTAGCCACTTGAAAAACTTATCAATTTACTATTTTTGAACTATTGGAGATGCTCTAACAGAGCACATATCATGTGCTGATGTACCCGATCTTACCGTACGCTTCAACACATATAATTAAGACTAAAAAACCTTGAAATACATGTACAAGGCACACGTACACATATACACTCCCACACACACTGCCTCCTCGGTTCCCTATGCGAACAAAGTCCTAGTCTATTAACACAGGTACTCCCTAAACCAACTTAGACCCTAGACATATCATTTACAGTATAAGCTAGAATGAGTTTCTTATGTTTATTTGATCCATTCATCACATGGCTTGGTGTGAGTGTTGACAATAGCACAGGTTGAGAAAAGGCATCTCAAATCTGAACTGAACCAGTGACGGAGCTTGTCATTCCGGATGGATGCTAAACATCACGAAATGCCATCCGCGGCCTCATAAGAAAACAGATGATAACAACATTAGTAGGTTCACCATTGCATCCATTGGTCGGGTACCCACAGCACATCCTACCAGTCTTTCTACGAGCAGATGAAATGAGAGGTCCTCTCTGCTGTGATTCTGAATTGACTTAGTTAATGTTTGGCTGCTGCGAGCGAGGGACTAATTGAGATTTCAATATCACCATATGGTTCTCCTTGTTGGACATCAATGTAGCCACAACTCTTCAGGACCTGCAGAAAACAGGCACACCAACCAAAATCAAGACAGGGAAAGTACCTGCTGCTGAAAAAGTAATACAGCAATTGTATTCCAAGAAAGAACACCAGAAGCAACTCTAACTATACCATTGTCTCCAAGAACATCCGTGAAGCTTGCTTTCTTACTTTCCCTTCCAATATTCTACTCAAACTGAATTTGCCAGGCTGCTCTTCAGGTGGGGTTGAAGGCACATGGTCTCTGAAGAACAGTGCAACAGCCCTATAGTGCCATATAAAAAGTCATCACAACTTGAACATGAATAAGAACGATAGGATCAGCTCAAACAGATATCATTACCTTGTCCTAGCAGACATGCTGCCTAGTCCGGTGGCTCCAGTACCTGCACTAGATATCCCACCAGGAGTACTTATGAGCCCTGGAATATCTGGCTGATCATCATAATCATCACTGATTGGAAACAGGGACACCATACGATCAGAGTCAGGAGTACTTTGTCCAGGTAATGAATAGGTTCCGACAGAAGAAGGTATTTCAGGGACACCAGTCCCTCCAAACCCAGACTGTGGAGTTTGATGGACAGTTTTGAAAGGAGAATCATCTTCTCTTATTGGAAATGGCATATCTACTGTGGAGAACCGGGGGAACTCGGGAATCATATCTTCAGCTCGTGCTGCACCGACTCCTCCTGGTGACTTGGGGGTGTGTTGAGGTTCAAGCTGTGCATCTGAATTTCTTGGAGATTTTAGGGTCAAATCATCTTCAGGCAGTGTATCTTCATTTCCATGAGACGTTGGGGTGAGCTGTATTTTAGCAGGAGCATCCTGACTACCACCATAACCAATCATCATGGGTTCACAAGAGGCAAACTCAGCATCAGGGTCACTGACACAGGGAAAGTTTCTCTCATATGTTACATGTAGGTCAGTACACATCCCTGAAAAGGAGTAAATTCAGGGCATAACTTTTGAAGTGAAGACAGAGTAAACCTTTGAAATCCAAGAGCATACTAGCTTACCTTGCAGTAAGGGTTCAAGCAATAAGTTGGTGTCATTTCTGCTGGTCCTGCTGAATTTCCACATATCCAGGGCTGTTTGAGGTAGCTTTCTCCTCTTGCAGGCTAACTTATTTAATCCAACACCTTTACTTTGAGCCTTCATATATCTGTGAAAGAGATGCACAAATGTATCACTGTTAACAGAAGAGGCTATCAAGTCATGTTTTTATCATACAACTTATCACTACCATATGCAGGTGAAAGCACCTTTTGGTGTTCAAATTCCTGGTGTGCACAATTAAAAAAAATAAAGGGCTATGTAGATCCCTAGTTGGTGCAGAGGCCAGATATTAGTCACCATTATCTAAAACTACCATATGCAGCATTAGTGATGGTAAAAAGTATATGGAGGATTGCATTTTTGCATCAGGATGGGACCTGGGTCTATCCATAGCTCTAGAGGAACTATTTTCAACAAATAAAAACAAGAGGCACACGATTACCATGAATGCGTTTATATAGTATGGAAACGTTCAAGGGAGGCCGTGCAGCACAATACGACACTTTTCCTTAAAACATTCATATGGCACTGTGGCTCCACATATATAATTATATACTAAGAATAACTGATACAATAAAGCGTATGGCTACAGGTTCAGTGTTCCATAAACTGTAACAAATTATATAAAGAACATAATTTTATCCTTTGGGTTGGACCCTATTTCAGAAGGCATCACCATGTATCATGAAGTATCGAATCCAATACACATCAGATGTTTGCATTTGTTACAATTATTGCCTGGGGAGGTCAAGGGTGACATAATTCTTATGAGTTTATTATGGGAAGGAAATTCAAAAACAGCATTTTAGATTTTTATGTTTAGAACAAACACTATCTGAGATTATCTGATTTGAAAAGGTGAAAAATATCAAATCATTTTCAAGTGACTACACACTTTATACTACTGTCATTGAGGCCTCCTGTCATGACCCATGACAACTACTCAAGTAAACAGAAACGAGTGTCATTTCAAATGAGGGTCAGAAAGTGTCACTTACTCATTGGAGAGCATTATTTCATTGTCAAACACCATCTCTCTCTTTCTCTTTTTGTCTTGTCCTTGAGGTGGAGGTGGGGATGGTTCAAGCCGCAATTCAGGTAACTGGTTGTCTAAAATCAGAAGATAAGGAAAGTTGGATCATGAGGTGTTTACTCATTGAGACAAAAATGCATTTCTCCTGACCTTCTAGCATATACCATACAACTGATGCTGGTGGAATAACAGAACAGCTTCAGTTCTATTAGAACGAAAGAGAAGTTGAAGACAGATAGACAATTACTTCAGATGCATAATGTGCCAGCAAACAAATACTAACCAGAATGTAGGGGCTTTATATCATCAATAAGATCATATGTGATAGGACATCGTAAGGGTACGTGTCTCCCAGCTAATTGTTGAGCAGAAGTTCCATCCATTGCTGGAGGGGTGATAAGCTTGTTCTGTACAAACGGTGAAGAATCCTGGCTCAACACCATGGGGTCATCATTTCCAAAAACTGTATCTATGAAGTGTTCAGGCCCCTCCTGTGGAGCTTCCCGCATTATTTCTGGCGGATCTTGTGCTCCATCTGATGGATTTTGGTTTTCTAGCATATTGCCAGGATGAGGGTCTAGAGGAATCTCATTGCTAAGAGTGTTATTTGCTCCAAGACCGTCATCAAACTGAGGGAATGTCCTGGACATGATTGCATGATAGTAAAGGATACATGTATACACTAGACAGAAAGAAAGAAATTATTCAAGAAACATACCCTGACTCAAATGGTTCAGTCCCCATGTATGGAAATAGACCAGTAGCTGGTGCCTGTGAGATGTTAGTGATTTGAGAAGTAAAAAAGATAAAAAGGAAACAAGATAATACAATAATTAATACCTCATCGAGATCTATCATCACATATTCTCCTTCTGCAACACCAATGAGATAGTTAAATGAATGAATTGGATGTCCATGAGCATTTACTTTATTGAACTTCCCTTACCAGACAAAGTAATCTGATCAAGAGTCTTCTGATGATTATCAGATGTACTGCAGAAAGTTCACCAAAACAAGAGTATCACAATGAGATTGCATGAGCGTGACACAAATAGAAAAAATGAGAAAAGAGCCAACATGATGCTTACTTTATTTGAGAAACTATATCATCTAGGTTTAAGTCATCAAGATTTAACGTAGATGGCCATGTGATGCAGTCAAATGGTGCCCGATCCACCTCAACTGGAAAATCTACTTCCACAGAAGCAAAGGTAGTTTTGATTGTAGTTACCATTCGGTTGCAATCTTGAAACAGGTAGTTCACCTTCCATGAATAAATGCGAACTAGGCCTAGGAGAAGATGCCCTGATAATCTTAAAGCATGTGGAACCTCTGGAAACATTATACTCTCTGGAAAAGGCAGAAGGCATGTGTTAGATGAGTAGGGCATAGTTTACAGAATAAACACCAGGACATAACCACAGAAAATTAATCCAAATATCTGGAATATAGAAAGCAAAATAACCATGAAATGGCGAGTACAGAGTAACCTTCCGTTAAAGGGATGTTGTTTCAGTGCTTAATATTAGGTAACATTAGGCAAGCCATTGACAACCAGCTCATGCTGAAGGGCAAGAGAAACAAAATCATAATAATTGCACACTTGACTGCTGTAGGTGAAAGCATTAAACTTGATGCCAAGGACATAGAATCTAGTGATTTTTTTTGACAAAACTAGAATCTAGTGAATTGTTTCCTAGTGATGAAAATTAGATGGCATTTGTCATATTATTCAACTTCCTTGCTAAGTATTCCATTACAGTACTCATCCTATCTCTGTCCTTAATCAAAGCATATCATTTCGCAAATAAAAAGCATATCAAATTCATGTTTTACATTGATATTGTATCGAACAATCAACACACTGCGTTATAAGAAAAGAACCAACAAACAATTATAATAATACACCAATCGACATTTAGTGTTATTACTAGTTTTTGAAACTTGCAAGAAACCTGGTGTTCAGGCTAAGAAATTGTGAGGACCCACGTAAAATCACTACTATGTCCTTGCATAGCCAAACTAACTGTTCTGCAATCAAGTCTGGAGATAGAAGTTGTAGCATACAGCTCGCAAGAGTAAAGTGAGAGGCCTGCTGCTAAGTTGAAAGTGGCCACAAGGGACAATTTTTTTCAGACAACTTCCGTTCTTCCCAAATCATTTTTCTCAACAAATTGCAAGGATTATAACTGATTTCGGGTTAACTGAGGGAAAAAAGATACGACACTTCAAACAAGAAACAATAACTTCAAATTCTAATTACTTCCCTTGGATTTTCTTTTCCAAATCCAAATTTTGATAGAAAATCTAACTGGCAAACAATGTTTTCAAATCGTCTAATCGGACCTAGTCGCCATGGCACAGATAAGGCCGACTAATCGTGATTAATCGTGACTAATCGGTGACCATAGTCAGAACTGGGGGACCGATAAGGCCGACTAATCGTGATTAGTCGGACGACTTAAAAACATTGCCGACAAAATAGATTCATGCATTATCTCAAATGCCCATGATTGTCGGTTCAAAATATCAATCTTTGGGCATGACAAGCCTCAACATCTGCAGACAGTCTACTACACAACAATTGCTGCTTTACTGAATCCTGAAGACATTTTGTTCTTTACCAAAACCCAACCAGATAACCTTTTTCTACCTTCTGCTAGCAAATCGTTACACAAATCTCCAACCAGTAACTCATTAACGGTAATGAAAGCTAAGGGGACTATATAGTAATATTATAGGAGAGAAAAGAATGAAAACTAAAGAAGAGTCATCCAACCAAATAACATTCGTTCACTTTTCAGCAAAAATCCTATGACAGAAACAAATTTACAGAGCACTCTAATTCGTATTCACTAGCCGAATCCATAATAAATCCTAATGGGACAAAAGAATCTACACATGGGTTCTTTAAAAACAAAATCAACAAAGGCATTTCTCTCCCTTCGACTTGCACAATACTGAGGAGGGACAACATATTAGCGCAATGTACCATCGCATGAGATTCCACCAAAAAATCAAGACTTCTCTGCGCACAGCGCAACCGTTCCCCATTTGCCCACCAGAACACGAGGAGCCTCTGCCAACGAACAAAGAGGGAATAAAAACTTTTCTTGGTTGGTTCTAGCAGCGGACGGCAGAGTCGCAGAGAACGACGAAAGACGGCGTCATTGAGCGAGCGAGCGAGGGAGAGAGGGCCAACGGACCTGCGGAGGAGGTGATGTCAATACCATCGATCTGCGGCTTCTTGATCTTGCGCTCGAGGTGCGCGGCGATCAACACGGTGCCCAGCGGGCTCTTCCGGTCTAGGATCGTGTGCGAGTAGAACATCCTCTCCGATCCTCTACGGGTCCCGGGCGGCGGCGGGGTTTAAGCGGGGTTTCTGGTAGCCGTAGTGGCCGTAGTGGAGACGACGACGGCAGGGGACGGGAGGGCGACGAGACACCGGTCAAGCTATTATGAGGGGCGGAGGGGAAGTTTTTGCCGGACTGTTTCCGGACGTCGCGGCGGGGCGGGACTGGTGGGCCCGGAGGGGCGGTTCCTTGCGATGGAAGGACGATCAGTTTTGTGATGTGTTTTTCCCCTGCACAATGCGGGTTCGTACGGTACTAGTATTTTTTTCCCTTTATTATGTTTTTATTATTATGTGAGGACAAGTTCATATTTTCTTTTCCATATCCTACAGTTGGTACAGTTGGTATGAAAATTTCCATTTTTCGTTTAGGCTATTGTATTACCGAAGGTGTTTTCTAGATTATCATTATCACAGATAAAAAGAGAGAGACGTCAAATGGGATCTTATGCCCTGTTCGCTTGACTTATAAGCCGTATTTTTTCAGCCAACGAATGATATTTTTTCTCACAACAAATCAGCGAACATGGCATCAAACCGGAGGAGCGCCAAATTGCTTGTCTGCTTGGCAACTACCGCATGTTTTTAGCGTACTCTCTTCTTCCCAAAATAAGAGATTGTAATATGTAGATTGATGTTTGCCTTACTAAACACTATTACCGTGTGTTTGGTTTGCGGGTTAAGTGGGATATCTCGGGTCCGTCCCAGATGATCTGCTATTTGGTTGAGGAATCATGTGGGTTTGAGTTCAACCTAGGAGGGAATATACCCTTATATGCGGGTTGGAATGGTTCCTTCGGTTCGAGGGGACGAGCTCGACCCACGTTCATGACGTTTTGCTCCTGTCTCGTAGGGTCGGCTCAGGGAGGTGGCGGTGTCCGGTGCGGGTGAGCTCGGGAGGTGGCCTCCGGCGTGGGCGACCTCGGGGAGGGGGCGGCGGGCGCGGATGAGCTCAAAGAGGGGGCGGCGGGCCCAGACGGGCTCGAGGAGAGGACGGCAGGCGCAAACGAGCTCGAGGAGGGGGCTGCATCCGGCCATGGTCACCGGGGCCGTAGGGGCCTGCGCGGGGCGGGCGGGGAGGTGGTGCCGCCATGGCCACCGAGCTCGGGCTAGGGTACGGCACGGATGAGCAAAGGAAGAAGATAAGAGGAGAAAATAAAGAGATGACAGGTGGGCCCCACTACAAGTACTATTAACATTGTCAAAATGACATCCATTTCATCCCTCGCCATCCTTGCAACCAAACAGAAAAAACTGAGTTCAACTCAACCCCTAAACCAAACACGAGATGGGTTTATCTCATAAAAAAAACTGGGTTGGACCTAACCCAACCCACTTGGTCCCCAAACCAAACACGCGGTTAGAGAAAATGCATTAAAACGAGACAACAAGAAAAAATATTATCCAAAAGGAACACAAGTGCCGAATTATTTATCGAGTAAAAGCAATGGCATATATGGATTGAGATTCTACGGCTGCACCATGCCGATTAGCACTGACCCAGCGGCAGGGCAACACAGTGCGTTGCTTTCTAGTTCAATATTAGCTTAGAGTTGTTGCGTGTTGTTTTCTAGTTTAATATTAATTTAGATCTAAGAATTGAAGATATAGTGCGAGAGGCAAAATCATCAAGTTAGACGCTATTATAGAGATTTTCATTTTTAATATTTTTTAAATCTTATTTTAATAATACCTCACCTATTTTTTATAGTTACTATTAACCCTTTTGACCATCCTAACGTGCCTAGCGTACGTTCTCACGCCATATGCGTTTGCGCGGTAAGTATCGGGGACCAATATTAGGGTACCCGAAGAGGAGAAGCTAATGGCCATTAATATTGACTCATCCGAGCATTAAGAGCGTAACTACAGCTCCAACCGACCCCGGCGCGCAAGCTCCGCTTCTTCTGGCCTCTGGGAGAGGGCACCACCTCGTCCGACCTTTGGGTCTGTGTTCCACCTCGTCCGACCCTTGGGCTTGCGCTCCGTCTCGCCCGACCCTTGGGTCTGCGCTCCGTCTCGCCCGACCCTTGGGTCTGCGCTTTGCCTCACTCGGCCTCTGGGGGAGGACTCCGCCTCGCCCGACCCTTGGGCCTACGCTCCGCCTCGCTCGACCCTTGGGTCTGCGCTTCGCCTCACCCAGCCTCTGGGGGAGGACTCCGCCTCGCCCGACCCTGAGGCCGCGGGCTCCGCCTCGCTCGACCCTTGGGTCTGCGCTCCGCCTCGCCCGACCCCGAGGTCACGGGCTCTGCCTCGCCCGACGAAGACCCATATCGATGCCAACTACTCCAGGTCCAAGCGTATGGGCCTAAGTCAAAGCTCTGACACCAGAGAAGAGACCGACACGCCCCGACGTAACCCATGGCCTTGACGGGCCATACTGGAGGATTCACATCAAGAACAACGTCGGACGTACCGGTGCTGTTCTGCCTAACCCCCGTACGAACACTGACGGGCGTGTCAGTTCACCATGATGTTTGCCAGGATGGAGTGGAGCGCCATGACCTGCATATGACGCCTGCGCATGGCGCTAGTGACGGATAGGACCACGACATGAATCCTGTCCCTGTTGACATCTACAGGATCGGCGGGACCCGCATGAAGGAGAAGAAGGACCCGACGATCCTGAAGTCCTTCGGCTCTCTCTCTCTCGTTCTTCTTTTTTCTCCACTGTAACCCATGCTTTTCCTTGGTCTATAAAAGGAAAAGCAGGACATCCCATAAGGAGCATCAGAACACATCACATCGATTCAGGTTAGATCCGATCGAACCATCACGAACCTATCGAACCCCAAACACATGGCTGAGTAGCAACCGAGCTCTCTCAGCACCCGTTCACTCCTTTCACCAGAGACTTGGGACCTGTCCCTCTCTCACCCGTTTATAACCCCTACTACGAACTTTCAGTGCTAGTAACACAAGCTGCAGCAACGAACTAGACGTAGGGACATTCTGCCCGAACTAGTATAAACCTCGTGTCCTCTAAGCATATCATCCGAGCCAAACGTGCAATATTAGAAATTTACTTGTCGGTGGCAACTCGAAACACCGATAGTTGGCGCGCCAGGTAGGGGCCTTTTGCGCGTCTTGACATCCACACCAGGCCTTGGATGGCTAGTCACAACCTCAGCTGGATCCCGAGCACGCACGTGCTCTTCGGGGACCTGGAGTTCATCGTCACGATAGAGGGAGAGTTGGTGATGGCTCCCACCGCCGTCTGACCTCTCCACTCCAGGCGCTTAAGGAGCTAGAGCTGCACGCACCGGAGGCCCGTGCCCCTGAAAGCGACTAGCTCCTCGACTTCGACTACAGGAGGTTAGAGCGCCAGCTCGGCGCCTTCCTAGGACCTCGACCTTCTCGGGAGGATCTACGCCACCTCACCTTCTCGTTCGCCAACGTCATGGCGCAGCTTGCCAGAGGGGAGCCGCTCTCTCTAGAATACCTCATCCAGAGCACCCCGACAACGCTCCCATTTGGTCTCTGCAACACCGCAGAGACCGATGGCCACCTTGTGGCACAATGCACGCCTCCGTCCCCCGCGAACGACGAGTTCGTGGGGATGACCGAATATGTCCTAGAATCTTTTCATGACCTCCTCATGAGAGAAACGGAGTCACCCTCCACCTCTGACTCCAGTAGGGGGAGCCATCACCCCTCTCGTGAGTGTTTCATGGTAGGTACCCCCGAGGGACACGTCGGAAACATCCACGAGGAAGAGGCTACCCCAATGAACGACCTCGATGATGAGGTCGAGAGGGATGCAGAGGCCCCACCATGCCTGCGGATGGAGCAGCTGAAGGCCCAGCACAAAGAGCTTGAGGAAGCGCTGAAAGCTCTAGTTTGGTTTTGGTGAATTGATGAAACCCTAAGTGCTAACCTAGTTTATCAAGTGATCATGAGATAGGTAGCACATTCCAAGTGGTGAAACAAATGAAGATCATGACATGATTATGATGATACCATGGTGATGATCAAGTGCTTGAACTTGGAAAAGGAGAAAGAAAAACAAAAGGCTCAAGGCAAAGGTATAAATGGTAGGAGCCATTTTGTTTCAGTGATCAAGACACTTAGCGAGTGTGATCACATTTAGGTTCGATAGCCGTATATTAAGAGGGGTGAAACTCATATCGAAATGCGGTTATCAAAGTACCACTAGATGCTCTAACTCATTGCATATGCATTTAGGATCTAGTGGAATGATAACACCCTTGAAAATGTTTGTGAACATAAGCTAACACACATGTGCACAAGGTGATACACTTTGTGGTTGGCACATTTGAGCAAGGGTAAGAAACTTCACCGGCGGAGTGTCCACCCGTAGAGTGCGGACAGTCCACCGATGCCACCGGCGCACTGTATAGAAATGATAGGGTTTCACATAGTACATCGGACACTAGTCTCAACTGGACCGGAGCGTCCGGTCAGTGGAAGCAATGAAGATACTAGCGTCGGTCTTTGACTGGACGCTGGCGGGGTGCGTCCGGTCCTGCTGACATGGCAGCACACAGAGGAGACAGTGAGTGACCGAACGCAGGGTGAGTCCGGTCGGGCATGACCGGACGTGTCTGGTCACGAGTGGAGGCTTACTGGAAGTGACCGGACGCTGGGGTCCTGCGTCTAGTCGTGATCCAACTGACATGTCTGGTCGCAGCTAGAACCTTACTGGAAGTGACCGGATGCTGGGGTCCTACATCCGGTCGTGGCACTGTGCTGTATCCGGTCATCACTTGACCGTTGGGATCGAACGCTCAGTATTTGAAGAGAGGGATGACGTGGCAGCCTTCCATTGATCGAACGCTGGCAGGGTGCGTCCGGTCGATCTGATCGGAGCGTCCGGTCACCCCGTGTTGTGCCTAGTGAAGGAGTACAACAACTCAATTTCGTGGGGGACTTCTATTTAAGCCCCATGGCCGGCTCTAGCTCACTCTCTTAGCCATTTGTATTGACATAGCAACCTTGTGAGCTTAGCCAAAGCCCT